ACTAATGACGATGGGTATTATGTGCAAGTGGGAAGGTTTTTAGCCGTAGGAGGTGAATACTGCCTCTGTTGTGCATGCATCGTGCATAAGTTCGTCTCTCACTGACAATCGGTCGCCATTGAGCATGGTTTGCCTTTCTAAATCTGAGTCAGCCTTGCTCTATTCCGCTGAATATTTTTCTTGTCTGGGTTGCCAAATGGAGGAGGCTCCGTCACTCATCATGTTTAAGAATAGAGTACACCGCTGAACGACAGATATTGAAAACGGTCGTTAGTGACAGATCTCTGGCCTTTTTTTTCTTTTTTTCCAAGATCTGTGCGATTAAATGATGTGCTGCAGCTGCTACGTTCAATTTGATATATTTCATTCCTTTCGCTTCTGTCTAGACTCGGTTCTCAAGCTTTTTACATGAGGGTTCTCCTGAAGTTTTTGTCGATCGACGTCGAATTGTTTTTCGGAACCATGAGCACTCAAAAAGAACGATTGCAATGATGCTTCTACATCGGCCATGCTCGTTTTTTACTTTGGTAAAATAAAAGGGAAATCGCCAATAATATAATGATTGATTTACTTCAGTAAAGAAAGTTCTAAAGTACAGATAGGCGAAAACTGTGCGGAAATGCGAATAAGGGAATTTTCGCCAAGGACACAAGTTATGTCATTATGATTTTTTCCCGAGATATTTTCGCCAGTTTAAATCTCCTGGAAGTCTATTTGTATGTGACCCAATAATAATTTGCCACACGTGTATGAAATGTACCTGAGGGATGAGGAAAGGGAGGAAGAGGACTGTGGCTGCGGAAAATCGTCCAGCTTTGCAAGTTACAGATATAGGTTCGAATCCAAACATGACAATGTTTCCTTATTGACTGCTAATTTCTCAGGACAAAAAATTCGCGTCACCGTGCTTCGATGCGATTAGCTGAGAAATTGGCGAGAAATGTGTTCCCTGTGAACAGTGAAGCAAAATCAGCTATCAATTTACAGTTTAGTGACGTGGTGGCACGGTGACTAACAGGTTGACTTTGAACTCTAGAGGTTCAGAGTTCCACTTCTGTGTTAACCGCAAATT